GGAAATGATATTGGGAAGGGTAGGAGAGAAGAGCAGCTAGATAAGTACAGGTCAGCTATAGATTTCATTAAGTCTAAGGGAGGGATCCCAATCATATGTAGCATCTTGCCTAGAAGGGGAGTAGGAAATGAATGGTTGTCTAGGGCAATTGGTGTAAATTGCTGGCTAGACAGATACTGCAAGGAACTTGCAATCCCATTCATTGACAACTGGAACAACTTTTATGGCAAACATGATATGTATGCAAGGGATGGGGTACATATCTCTGGGGCTGGAGTGGTAGCACTTGCAGACTCGATTGAGAAGGCCATTGGTGAAATGCCTATGATTTTAAACTGATGGAAAATAGAGGTATGGGTGTGTGTGGGAAACAAGCAGGTTGCAACACTAGGGTTGGAAACAGTAAATGTGTAAAAGGCATTCAGCATGAAGTTATAAATAAAAACAATAGATCAGGTCAGCAAATAAAGGGGGACAGCAGAGGGCAGCAAGGGACTAGCTCCCTTAAGGTTTACTATACTAATAGCAGGAGTGTAAGAAATAAGATAGATGAGCCAAGATTAATTGCAAGTGGAGGAAACATGGATATTATTGCTATAACAGAGACCTGGCTCAATCTGAAAGATAGAGAGATGCCCTCTGAATGTCACATACAAGGCTATATAATTATTCGACACTGACAGGGTCAACAGGAAAGGTGGTGGAGTAGCGATGTATGTCAGAGACAATTTAAATTATTGTGTTAGACAAGATATTAAATTAGAAGCGTCAGCCACTGAATCTGTTTGGTTACAGCTTCTCGAGGGCCGAGAAAAACAAATTTTGGGTGTGATTTACAGGGCCCCAAATCTTGATAGGGAGTGCAGTAAACTTTATGGGACGAAACTCGTAAGGCATCTACATACGAAAATGTTGTGCTAATGGGAGATTTCAACTATAGACAGATTGACTGGAGAAATTTGACAGGAAATTTAGAGTCAGGTGACTTTCTTGATACGATCCAGGATTGTTTTTTAAAACAGTTTGTGACAGAGCCAACTAGGGGAAATAACCTCCTTGACTTGGTTCTTGCCAGTACGGAAACACTAATTAATAATCTTGAGGTTAATGTTGAGCTTGGGGAAAGTGATCACAAATCACTCAGTTTTAATATATCATGGAATTCCCCTAATAATGGCAATCAAGTCTCTGTCCCTGACTTCTGCTTGGCTGATTTCATAGGACTGAAAAATTACTTAGGTGGGCTGAACTGGATGACCTGACTAAGGGTCAGGTAGGTGGTGATGGTTGCCGATATGACGCTTTCCAGGGCATAGTTCTAGCTGCTCAGTCAAATTATGTTCCAAATAGAGAAATCAGACAAACAAAAATGATCCTAAATGGATGAACAATAGATTAAAGTATCTAATTGGTCAAAAGAGAGGCATATATAGGCAAATCAAAAGAGGAGAGGGGCAATTAAGAAATCGATATATTTAGTTAAAGAGAGAAATAAAAAAGGAATTAAAAAAGCAAAAAGAGATTATGAGGTTAAAGTTGCAAGAGATTCGAAGATTCCACCATAAATAGGCCATGATTGGCAACGGTAAAGATACCAGAAATCTGCAGGTAAGGGTACCTATGGAGTAGAGGGGTCAGAAAAGTCCACCTATGGCGACAGCAGAAAACATTCAAGTAGCGAAGGAACGGAGCGCTGTGAAGAAAGGAGTTGCGCAGATGGAGGAGAGGAAAGAGAAGGAACAGGGGATGGATCAGTGTCCATTGATGGTTTAGTCTCTGCAATATATTCTGAGATAGCTTCAAGTGTTTCAGAATTCAAAGACATTACATGGGAAACAATACTGGAGATGGAAGGAGGAGGGCGAGTACAGACTGGGACAGTAATAGACTGTACCAAAGTAGGGGGGGACAAAAGGGTGGAGGGAACTGGAGAAGAAGTGTGAGAGGAGACAGAAGAGGCAGAAACCTGGGAGGTGGCAGAAGAGGAAGAAACTTGGGAGAGGAAGGCATAGTACGAGGAGGAGAGTGAACCTTCACACTTGTAACAGAGCCAGTGAGAGGGGAAGAACCAGGTACAGAGATTGAAAAGGTAAAATTTCGAGGTGGAAGAGGGGTAGGAGGGGTTAAAGGAGATTTGAGCAAAGAGAATTTTTTGGACTTCTGAGAAGTAGAGAGGCGATTGGTATGATGTGTTGTACGAGGTCTTGTCGATACCGGGGCTTGTGAGGGAGAACACAAAGAAGTGAGAGCAGACTGAGTTATTGAGGTAGAGACTTCTGAGCCCAGGACAGCAAAAGAATTAGAGATAGGAGTGACTGTGGAAAGGGTAACCACAGAGGAGGCTGTAAAAGATTGGACCCCAGAGGTGGGGGGACGTTTAGAAACACGAGAATAAGAAATACGGGGTAGTCTCCCTTGGAGGCGTAGATGAGAAACTGCCATAGCATAAGGGAAACCTTCTGCCTGTTTGAGGCAACGGATTTCTCGCTCATTTAAGTAGACCTGGCAATGTTGAGAGTAAGAAGGGTGAGCCTCATAACAGTTAAGGCAAGAGGGAGGTCGACTACAAGACATATTAGAATGGTCATCAGCACCACAGACTAGGCATTCGGCTATAGATCTGCAATATTTTGCTGGGTGACCAAATCGCCAGCAATTTCTATGCTGTTGCGGTGTAGGGATCACCTTTCGAACTCATAAATGATGTCCTGCTACATAAACAGAGGATGGGAGTTCACAGTTGTCGAAAGTTAATCGAGCTACATTGCAAGAGTATCGTCGCCGCCCGTGAGCAGGAAGAACACAAGTGTCTACTTTGAGGATTGGGAGATCCTGGAGTTCCAGCTGTTCAAGAATGTCATCGCCATATGTCTGGAAATTCTGTTGGACTATGGTATGAGGAAGAATGACTATACCACTACAAGAATTGAGGGAATGATGTTTTTCGATAGTGACAGGAATAGTGTCGATATGCGAAAGAAGAGAAAGATCATGAGCTTGAGTGGCATTCTGGACAGTGATGATGTGGGTACCACTCTTGAGAGTGTGAAAGGAAGTATCTCTACCAACATGGCATAGGAGTGCCTTGCCAATATTATTGTCGGAAAGATAGGCAATAGAGGAAGTCGGTCGTAAAGTAAAGAATTTAGTCCATTGTGCATTCCAAAACTGAGCGTGGAAAGGGAGCGCATGACATGTCGGTCTTTTCTGAGCAGAACGAGGTGGCAAAGAAGTATCATTAGGCAGTTGTCGTTGGCATGTAGGAGTGGGACCAGAGTTGGTCCGACATGGGACGGGCTAGCGATTCTAAAATTGCCACACCGTAGAGGGAGAGGCTGGCAGCATAGTCAAAAGAGAGCGGAGGTCAGGCAAATCGAAGGAGTCAGTCGAAACCCCGGTACCTGAAGTGGGTGATGAAACAGCACCAGCAAGAGGTACAGGGGCATTAGAAGTGTCTGAAGAGTGGTCAAAAAGCGAGGCAGGGTCAGAATGGGGTGCAGTATCAAGAATGGGCCCGGGGGTAGCAGGTTCATGGATTGGGTCCTCCATGGTTAGGTTACTTCTTTCTTTTTGCTTTTAAGGAAAAAAAGAAAGAAGAAAATAAAAATAAAAAAAGTAATACAAAAATGGGGAACAGGGAGGAATAATTCCTAGGAGGAATGAAAGGGTTGGAATTCTCCCTCTGCGCCCAAGAGGACCTCAGCACTGCAAGTAGCGCAGATGCAGCATGGAACCCGTGCCATACCCTACCCTTCATGCCAGTAGACCAGCAATCCAGGATAGCAAGCTCACATCTGCCGAGCTACCTCAGTGGACAAAAGAGAGGGCGGTCGGATATCCACCACAAATCATTCCTCCTTTGGCCACCACCCCCGGAATCCGAAAGGAGGCCTCCAGAGATACACCCATCGCCCGAAAGACTTCCAAAGCCACCCCCTAGGAGACCGGAGAGGGATTGGGACATTCCTAGGCGATCCAGATTCCACAGCAAACTACACCACCCCCATGAACCTCAATGGAATGGGATGGACCCCGGTACCCTTTCCCCTACCTAGGAACCAGCGTGCCTGTCGAAGGATCCCAAAGGCCAAAAAGAGGAAGGAAATAAGGGAGGGACGGGGAGGAGGGGGAGGAAAGGGAAAAGGGAGGATGGGAAAGATGGGATAGGGAAAGGGGGATTAGGGGGTAATTAAGTTCGGCCTGAGGAAGGAGACCAACAGGTCTAATTCCTCAAAGAGCCTCTTCACCACGCCAAGGAGCCCCACTTGAAGAGGTATATTACCTAAAGGCCTACCATATTCCGTATTATTCAACCGTCTTTCTTATATGCCTACCATCTTATCACAGCTATGCCTAACATCAGCATCTTTCCTTCAACCCCACACATTTACTACCTACCGGAACTGTCAAAATTATAGGCCTACAATCGCAGTTACAGGCATCTTTCTTATACAAATGAACCACTTTTCTACAGGTTTTCCATCATCTCTGTAGGACTTCCATCTTCCCTACAAGAACACCATCTTTCCTACAATCTTGATTACTGGCCCACCATTTTCCCCTACAGACTTATTGTCTTTCCTATAAGCCTACCATTTTACCAAAATGCCTATATTTTTTTATAAGCTACCATCGATCTCACAGGAATACCATAAGTAAGACTCTCCAAGTGTTTAATTAAATCATCATAAGAGTATTATTCAAACCTCACTCTTACTACCCACACTTCACGAGCTTGTCTGCTACCTTCCATATTACCTTGTTTTTCAAAGACACTTGTTCCTCTTTATACACTTAAACCAGATGAACTTTAATGAGTGAATGAGTGTTTTCTAGGTCAATAAATCATGTTTAGACTAGAGGACATTATACATATAGCTCCGTTCTTGCACTCGCACCAACCATTGTAGCTCTGTTTTTCAAGCAGCACCCGATACCACCACTAACATAGCTGTTCGTTTGTAGCTACATCACCATCATAACTCTGATCAGTTACTTACTATCACAACACACACAGTTCAAGCCAGAGCAGTTGTTTCCCAAAGGATTAGTACACGTTCTAACATCTGTGCAGATGCCAGAACAGCTATTAGAGGCATTGCAGGTGGCCAGACGAGATGAGCAGCACTTGCAAGCAGAGTCACCACATCCATCTTTCACCTCTAGTTCCTCCTTCAAACAAAACTCTCTGCACACTCCGTAGCCTTCATCACACACAGGGTTGATGCTGCACTCTGTGAGTCACATATAAATAAAAATTAATATACATTATTAGTTGGATATTTAACACAGAAATGAAAAGATGGAAATATGTTGTTGGGAGAAAAATATATCCTTCCCTGTAGAATAATGTAAGGTCTTGGGTGTGTAATTCAATATGTTGGGCAGATATGTGGAATACAACAAGCTCGAGAATGCAATATACCATTTCTAGGACACTGCATGATAAATACAACAAATGAGACTATTCAGCTGGAACACAAGTTCTCAGACAATACGTGTTCAATGAAACATGTTCGTTTTTTAATGTATTTAAATGGAAAAGGTTTTGCTACAGAATAGTAGAAGTTAATATTGTGTGCAGCAGTTAACAGTAGAACATTAAGCAAAAACTAATGTTAACAGCAGCAGACAAGCTTCTCTTTGTGAGAATATAATGATTATACACAACACTCAATCAACTGAAATATGAAGCTGCTACTTACTGTCACAACAAATACAGTCGGATCCAATACAACTGTTGTTTGCTAGAGGATTTTTACAGAGTTTAACGTCCATACAAACACCCGAACAGTTGTTAGTAACAGGGCAGTTGGTGTATCGTGGAGTGCAGCACTTACAACCAGGACTGATACATCCTCCCTCCACCTCAAGCTCACCACTGTAACAACGTTCTCTACACACACCATTGCTTCCATTACATATCGGTTGAGCATAACATTCTGTTGACAAATGTCAGACAAACTGTAATTAGATGAGAACAATTATTAATATATTCCACCGAATTTTTACAGTCGAATATGAAATTTCGTGACACTGAGAGATGTCATAAAAGAAGAAAGAAGTAACCTTCAGGGTGAGGCAGAACTCTTTAAAATGTATCTCTAGAGTTGAAGCAGATGCATCAACTAATCTCCCTAATGAAAAGCATTCCTTGATTTTGGTACTGCATATTACTGTCAGTATTATTGTGCTGGGCTGGAGATCGAAGGATTGACAGATCGACAGACTGATTCTTGATATATATATATATATATATATATATATATATATATATATATATATATATATATATATATATATATATATATATATAATATATAATATATATATATATATTTATTATTATTTATTATTATCACACGTCAAGTATTAAAAACCATTTGTCTCCATTCACTCCTATCAAACATGCTCACGCATGCCTGCTGGAAGTCCAAGCCCCTCGCGCACAAAACCTCCTTTACCCCCTCCCTCCAACCCTTCCTAGGCCGACCCCTACCCCGCCTTCCTTCCACTACAGACTGATACACTCTTGAAGTCATTCTGTTTCGCTCCATTCTCTCTACATGTCCGAACCACCTCAACAACCCTTCCTCAGCCCTCTGGACAACAGTTTTGGTAATCCCGCACCTCCTCCTAACTTCCAAACTACGAATTCTCTGCATTATATTCACACCACACATTGCCCTCAGACATGACATCTCCACTGCCTCCAGCCTTCTCCTCGCTGCAACATTCATCACCCACGCTTCACACCCATATAAGAGCGTTGGTAAAACTATACTCTCATACATTCCCCTCTTTGCCTCCAAGGACAAAGTTCTTTGTCTCCACAGACTCCTAAGTGCTCCACTCACTCTTTTCCCTCATCAATTCTATGATTCACCTCATCTTTCATAGACCCATCCGCTGACACGTCCACTCCCAAATATCTGAATACGTTCACCTCCTCCATACTCTCTCCCTCCAATCTGATATTCAATCTTTCATCACCTAATCTTTTTGTTATCCTCATAACCTTACTCTTTCCTGTATTCACCTTTAATTTTCTTCTTTTGCACACCCTACCAAATTCATCCACCAATCTCTGCAACTTCTCTTCAGAATCTCCCAAGAGCACAGTGTCATCAGCAAAGAGCAGCTGTGACAACTCCCATTTTGTGTGTGATTCTTTATCTTTTAACTCCACGCCTCTTGCCAAGACCCTCGCATTTACTTCTCTTACAACCCCATCTATAAATATATTAAACAACCACGGTGACATCACACATCCTTGTCTAAGGCCTACCTTTACTGGGAAAAAATTTCCCTCTTTCCTACATACTCTAACTTGAGCCTCACTATCCTCGTAAAAACTCTTCACTGCTTTCAGTAACCTACCTCCTACACCATACACTTGCAACATCTGCCACATTGCCCCCCTATCCACCCTGTCATACGCCTTTTCCAAATCCATAAATGCCACAAAGACCTCTTTAGCCTTATCTAAATACTGTTCACTTATATGTTTCACTGTAAACACCTGGTCCACACACCCCCTACCTTTCCTAAAGCCTCCTTGTTCATCTGCTATCCTATTCTCCGTCTTACTCTTAATTCTTTCAATTATAACTCTACCATACACCTTACCAGGTACACTCAACAGACTTATCCCCCTATAATTTTTGCACTCTCTTTTATCCCCTTTGCCTTTATACAAAGGAACTATGCATGCTCTCTGCCAATCCCTAGGTACCTTACCCTCTTCCATACATTTATTAAATAATTGCACCAACCACTCCAAAACTATATCCCCACCTGCTTTTAACATTTCTATCTTTATCCCATCAATCCCGGCTGCCTTACCCCCTTTCATTTTACCTACTGCCTCACGAACTTCCCCCACACTCACAACTGGCTCTTCCTCACTCCTACAAGATGTTATTCCTCCTTGCCCTATACACGAAATCACAGCTTCCCTATCTTCATCAACATTTAACAATTCCTCAAAATATTCCCTCCATCTTCCCAATACCTCTAACTCTCCATTTAATAACTCTCCTCTCCTATTTTTAACTGACAAATCCATTTGTTCTCAAGGCTTTCTTAACTTGTTAATCTCACTCCAAAACTTTTTCTTATTTTCAACAAAATTTGTTGATAAACATCTCACCCACTCTCTCATTTGCTCTCTTTTTACATTGCTTCACCACTCTCTTAACTTCTCTCTTTTTCTCCATATACTCTTCCCTCCTTGCATCACTTCTACTTTGTAAAAACTTCTCATATGCTAACTTTTTCTCCCTTACTACTCTCTTTACATCATCATTCCACCAATCGCTCCTCTTCCCTCCTGCACCCACTTTCCTGTAACCACAAACTTCTGCTGAACACTCTAACACTACATTTTTAAACCTAGCCCATACCTCTTTGACCCCATTGCCTATGCTCTCATTAGCCCATCTATCCTCCAATAGCTGTTTATATCTTACCCCAACTGCCTCCTCTTTTAGTTTATAAACCTTCACCTCTCTCTTCCCTGATGCTTCTATTCTCCTTGTATCCCCTCTACCTTTTAAATCTCAGTGTAGCTACAACTAGAAAGTGATCTGATATATCTGTGGCCCCTCTATAAACATGTACATCCTGAAGTCTACTCAACAGTCTTTTATCTACCAATACATAATCCAACAAACTACTGTCATTTCGCCCTACATCATATCGTGTATACTTATTTATCCTCTTTTCTTAAAATATGTATTACCTATAACAAAACCCCCTTTCTATACAAAGTTCAATCAAAGGGCTCCATTATCATTTACACCTGGCACCCCAAAACTTACCTACCACCCCCCTCTCTAAAGGTTTCCCTACTTTGCATTCAGGTCCCCTACCACAATTCTCTCTCATTTGGTTCAAAGGCCCCTATACATTCACTTAACATCTCCCAAAATCTCTCTCTCTCCTCTGCATTTCTCCTTCTCCAGGTGCATACACGCTTATTATGCCCCACTTCTCGCATCCACCTTTACTTTTAATCCACATAATTCTTGAATTTACACATTCATATTCTCTTTTCTCCTTCCATAACTGATCTTTTAAACATTACTGCTCCCCCCCCTTTGCTTAACTCTCTCAGATACTCCAGATTTAATCCCATTTTTTTCCCCCCCACTGAAACTCCCCTCCCCCCTTCAGTTTTTGTTTCGCTTAGGGCCAGGACATCCAACTTCTTTTCATTCATAACATCAGCAATCATCTGTTTCTTGTCATCCGCACTACATCCACGCACTTTAAGCAACCCAGTTTTAAAAAAGTTTTTCTTCTTCACTTTTTTTTGTAAATTTTATACAGGAGAAGGGTTACTAGCCCATTGCTCCCGGCATTTTAGTCGCCTCATACGACACGCATGGCTTACGGAGGAAGATTCTTTTCCACTTCCCCATGGACAATAGAAGAAATAAAAAAGAACAAGAGCTATTTAGAAAAAGGAGAAAAACCTAGATGTATGTATATATATATTTTGCATGTGCGTGTCTGTGAATTTTGTGCCCAAAATGTGTAAGTGGGAGTAGCAAGATACCCCTGTTATCTTAGCGTGTTTATGAGACAGAAAAAGAAAACCAGCAATCCACCATCATGTAAACAGTTACGGGTTTCTGTTTCACAGTCATCTGGCAGGACGGTAGTACCCCCTGGGTGGTTGCTGTCTCCCAACCTACTCCCTACATATATAATATATATAATTTTAAAATTTTTATATATATATATTTATATATATATATATTATATATATATATATTATATATATATATATATTATAAAATTTATATATATATAAAATTTTATATATTTTATATATATAATATATAATAAAATATATATTATATAATATTTTATTTTATAATATATATATAAATATATATATATATATATATATTATATATAATATATATATATATATATAATATATATATAAATTATATATATATATATATTATATATATATAAATAAATTTATAAAATAAAATATATAAAAATTTTATTTATATTATATATAATATATTTTAATATATATATTTTATAAAATATATATATTATATATATATATATATATATATATATATATATATATTTAATATTTTATATTAAATATAATATATATATATGTCGTGCCGAATATGTAAAATTTGGTTAATTAGCAAGAACTCACTTAAAATTAAGTCCTTTCTGAAATTTTCTCTTATACGTTTAAAGATATATTTTTTTCATTTATGCTAATGTAAAAATTTTTAATTTTCCACAACAGAATCTTAGAAAACTTACCTAACTTTATTATAACAAAAGCAATTTAATTTAGCCTAATCCTGCTAAATATATTTCAGATAAGTTTAAAATAATTTAATAATAAACAAGCACAATGAAATATATTTTTTTCGTTAGGCTCGTAATGTTTTTGAGAAATTATTGCATACACTTTTTTTTTCGCTTGCCTTATTCGGAAAGAAGGCGTTGCTATTTAAGTCAAAATAGCAAGCTTTACCTATTTGGCACAGAGGAAAAAAATAGTAAAATTTCCCAAACTCTTTGTGTGACTCACTTTTTCAAGGAACTATGAAAATAAAGCAAAATAAGGCATATAAGGGCAAGACTACCCCTCACAGTCATGTCACAACACCTATTTTATTAAACACAACTGATACTTTACCCAAGCATTAATTTTTTTAAAATTGTCTAATGTATCTTAAATTCTTCCCAAATTTTATTAATTACAAAAGAATCCAATATTATGAACCAAAACCAATATTATTTTCAAAACTGCTTTTTATGAAACAAGATTAAATTATATTCCTGTCGACCATGGACTTGCTTGATACTACTTTCTCAAATTTTTGAAAATAATTTGGATGGTTAAAATCTCTAACATGAAATAAATAGAGCTTTGGGAATTTGTCCAGTTCTA